GCCGCTTGTCCCTTCCGAGGATATCTTGTAATTGAAAGACTGTGATAATCTTCTGTCACTGTTGACAGGGCGGAACACTGCAATCTTACACAGCTGAATAACCATCACAAGATGTTTTTCTTCATAACCTGTTGTTACATCTGATTTGAAATGAAAATGCGCTTCCACTATTAGGGTATTCATTCTTTTCGCTTTGATCTCCAGTGGGTTCAAATGTTGAGAACTAAACCATGTTTTCATTGCCTATTACACCAAATTTTATATAATAACAAAAAAATCCCAGCAACCCTCCACGGAAGTCTTTAATATATAGGAAAATAATATATTAAAACAGGAAGAGGAGATTTCATGAAAACAGAAGGCAGTAGATTCAAAACAAAAAGTGCGCTTGCTCACGTAACAACGTGAATTCCACAATGAAAGCTGTGGAATTCCTTGCACAGGCACCAGAAATCCATCCACAGGACATGTGGATGCTTAAAGGTTTACTGAGATTCAAAAAGAGACTGGATACACTCATTAAAGAGACATCTGTGTCTGGCTGGCAGGTCCTTGAGCTGCAGATGGCTATCACTGATGCGCGGCCGCCTTCTGCTCGCCTTACTGCCACCCACTTCAGCTACTGCTGGAGGCACATCAGCTCCAGGATGAACACTCTGTGTTTGAACAGTATTTTTAAAAACCCCATTGATTCACAGCTTTGAGCAATGAGCAGCACACAAGAAGCAATTTGTACCACGTAACACTCCGTTTTATCAGTCCTACTGAATTTAGGTGCTGTGCTGCACATCTGCGAACACAACCTACTGCCATTTATGTACATGTTGACATGTGTACAGACTTCTTTCATTTGCAACGTGCTTCTGTAGCCCACCTGCTAAAGAAATGCAACAGTTCATGCAACAATAGTTAACTGTTGTACGCCCTTCATGTTGGTATGTAAGACAGAGAGTGATTTGTTGAAGTGTCTATTGTTACAATTAGGTATGTTAAGTCTGAACTAGAAGATAGACTCCTATGGTAGAAGGATGAGCTGCCCTCTGGAGAAACCTCCTTTTCTCCATTCATGATAAAGGAAGCAGCACGCCTAGGATGACTCACAGCCAACAGCCAGAGTGTGGTCACCCAAAACCGGGTGAGATGACCACCCTTCTCATCCAACTGGGCAGAGTAAAACTTCTTCCACAATGACTTAAAACCATATCCCCAAAACGTTCAGTTCAGACGCGGGTGGTAGGTACACCTCTGCTTTTGAGTCAGACCCCCTGTTCTTACTCCTTTTTATTCACTCGGACAAAACCCAAGTGATGTCAGTAGGAAAAGGGCTTTATGAAGATTTCAAAAGGTGTTTCTTAGTTATAAAACCCAAGTCTGAAGAAAGCAGTCTTGCTTTGTTAATTTTCACTATAGGCATGGAAAAGTTGACTGTTGCTATTTCTGATAGTATGTAATGTATTTCTTGAGGCACACAGGTAAAGCTGGAGATGAAGACTGGCGAGGAAGCTATTATTTTTGACAGGTCCAATTTATTGACACTGTTAGTAGCTAATTGACACATTAAAGTGCTGAACCATGAACATATTTACCCAGAGGTCCTCTAAACTTTTATTTATGTCTGAGCCTCCTAGGAGAAACAGTAAATATTACCCCAACCAAAATAACCAGCATATGCTAGGAAGCACAGGGCTGAAATTCAGCCGTTCCTGAAGGTCAATGCACAGTTTTAGAATAGGTAGAGGGTAGTGAGACAACAAGAAATAATTAACTCACTCACCCAGAAATCATTTTCAATTATAAACAGCATGAGCTGGAGGACTGCTCAGTTCCGCTGAATGAATAACCATCCTCACTAAATATTTCACCGAATTGGGCAGGCCAGCCACAGTGAGACTTGTTTCAGTTCACCACAGCAATCATCCAACTGGTACACATTTTAAAACAAAATATATTGAAAAAAAATCACCATCTACACCGGTAATGTGGAAGAGCTGAAGACTCTGTTAGTCCCACTCAGTTGACTGCAGCATTAAGAAGAATGAAAGGGTAAAAACAACCTTTTCACCAAATTCAGCCTCCTGTTGCTTGGACCCTATGTTAAAACTATGTACAGCATTTGGCTGTAAGAGTAATTAAACTTTTTCTTCACTACCTGGAAAGCAACGACATTACATTGTTTACCAAGGCTTATAATGCAGAGAAGTGTGAGGGGAAGCTGCCTATTTCTTCACACTCCTCCACTCAAGAAAAAAGACTGACCCCTTTCCAAATATTTGTCTGCACTTGCACCAACTCCTGTAGAAAGCTTGCCATGTACACGTTGACCATCCAAATGAAGCTCCCAAGCAACAAAAAGCTGTATGTTTTAAACAGACAAGTGGACAAACATGTATTACTCATAAAGTCATGTTTAGCAGCATTCCAAGAGAAACCTATTTCAAGGAGTTTTTTTTTTTTAAAAAAAAAACAAAACACAAATGTGTTTTGTCTTGCATTCAAATTAATCTTGTTAGATCTTCACCTTTCTTGCCTCACTGCTCTCATGCTTGCCTCTCACAAAGAGTTAGGAAGAATTCATATATTCATATCATATGACACTCAGAACAAGAACATATGCAAAGTTCTGGTGACTGTCACTTTCACAATAAATGCCTCCGGTGGCATGTTGTAGGCTGCATCACGTGAAGTATGAGAGGTTGCCTTACAGATACAGCAGAGATTCCTTCTAAAAGTACACACCCATTGCTTTTGTATGTTTTTCCAAGCTCTAATACCCTCTTTTAGCTCGTAAGTAAATTTTTGTTCAGCTCTGTTCTTGCAAAAGGTCATCAGATCCACCGCTGGAAACACCGTAACTGATACGTCCTCTTTTAGGGAGGTGGTTTCATCACTAAGTTTCCACCTATGACCAGTAGCGCACAAAAGTAAACCCAAGAGGACTGTAAGTCCCACAGACAGCAAGTATAGTTTTGCTTGCACGTGGAACGTGGGGCTGAGCCATAAGGAGGGCTGGCCAAACTGATTTCTTGTACAGGAATGCATAAAGGTGGAAGGGCATAACATGCAATTTTCTCTGGTGGCCACTCGTGTGGAGTGATGGCCTGAAAGCCATTGGGGCAGCCCTGCTGCTGTGTCACCCTACGGCAATCCAGGGGGCACGGTCCAAGATCATTCCATGCTGCAAACCAACACAAGGGTAACGGAGAACTATATTTAGATCACTCCTGACCCGAACTGACATTTCTTCTGAAGAAGGAAGGACTTCTGCACCCCACAGGAGTGCCCTGGCAACCAGCACGGTGATACCCCGATTTCTTTCCCCCTTGTTTTGCCTCTGAAACTCTGGTGGACCTGAGAGGCCTCTCCAGACAAGAAGTCCAGCAAAACTCAGAGGTTTCCAGTTTGACAAAAAACCATTTCCAAAGCAGAGGAACTGCTCTTCGAGGAAAATTCTCTCCAGTTCCATGAGGAAGGAGTGGAGTGGAGTGGAGTGGAGTGGAGTGGAGTGGAGTGGAGTGGAGTGGAGTGGAGTGGAGCCACCTTTCCCTGGGACAACAAAAAGCATTCTAGTGATTTGCCAGTCCCGCCCAATCATTT